ATTGGAGGAAGTCCCATCTGGTTCCCTCTCAGGTTCGGACTTGGCTGGGTCTCGTTTGGGACTCTTGAACCGCCTCCTTGTCTCTCCCTCCGGAGTCTCTCCTGCGGCTGCGGTCCCGCCTTCGTCTGTTTCTGGAGGGCCCTCGGGTCACCCGGCAGTTGCTCAAGGGGCTGTGCGGGAGCCTGAACTTCGCGATGGTGGTCTACCCGCCGGGTCGGGTTTGGCTTCGACGGCTGTTCTGGTTCCTTCGGGGTTCCCCCTTCCGCCTCTCTCGCGATCGCAGAGTTCGACCCCCGGGGGCCTTGCGTCGGTTGCTGCGTCACCGGCTTCCTCTTTGGGTTTTTCGGGGTTCAGTGCCTTGGCGCCTACCCGAGCCCTCGCTCGATGTGTACACGGATGCGTCGTCTCTCGGCTGGGGTTTTGTGACCAGTGCTCACCAGGCCGGCCAGGGGCGTTGGGATCCGTCCTTCCGTCGAGCTCACAGCACGGTGCGGGAGTTCGCGGCAGTGTGGTTTGCTCTGGGGAGGATTCGGGTGGCACGCGGATCGACGATTCGGCTCCATTCGGACTGCTCTCCAGTGGTTCATTGCCTGAACTGCGGGGGTTCGATGCGGTCCTTGTCTCTTTGGGGTTGGTCGCTTCGGGTGACTTGTCTGCTGAGTTCTCGGGGTTTGGCTCTCCTGGCGGTTCACGTATGGGGTGTGTCCAACGTCTTGGCCGACGCCCTGTCTCGCTTCATTCCCCTCTCCACGAAGTGGACGGTCGACGACGAGTCCTTCCGTTGGCTTTGCCAGACATTCGGGCGCCCCAAAGTGAACCTCTTCGCGTCGGCGTGGTCGCGGCGTCTTCCCATTTATGCGGCGCCCTTCCCCAATCGCGAGGCCGTCGGGGTCGATGCCTTTCGGCTAGACTGGTCGAGGTGGGGGTTCCTGTACCTCTTTCCCCCGGTTCGGCTGTTGCTCCAGGTCCTGACTCGCTTAGAGACTTACCAGGGGAGAGTTGTCCTTCTGGCCCCTTGGTGGCCGGCCCAGCCTTGGTTTCAGGCGCTGGTTGCTCGGTGTCCGAACCCGAGGGTTTTCCCGCGGCTCCGCCTCTTTCAGCAGATCGGGCCGGTACGTCACGTGGCTGGTTCGATCTTCTCCTCGAGTCTTCTCGTATGGTTTTTTTGACTCGAGTCTATCATCATCTCTATGGTGATCAGGTGGCCTCCTTGTTGGTGTCCCACCTGAGGGCTTCTTCTCGGCGGCAGTATGAAGTTTCCTGGCGGTCCTTCCGTTTCTTTTTGCGTCTTCGTCGTGTTAGTTCCTCAAGATAGTTCCTTGTCTGTTCGGGTGGTCTTGTCCTTCCTCTTGTGGTTGTTTCAGGACCGTCATCTTATGCCTAACACTGTCGCTTCGTATCATGCGTCGCTGGCGGAGCCGCTTCAGCTTACTTTCGGTATCGATGTTACGTCTGCGCCGTTTCGCAAGCTGTCTCGTGCATTGTTTCACCTCCGGCCTGCTCATGCGTCGCCTGAGCTGTCCTGGTCTTTGGACAGAGTGCTTGCTTTCCTTTCGTCTCCTCATTTCGTTGTGGCCCCTTCGGTCCAGGATTGTTTTTCCAAGGCACTTTTCTTGTTGGCTTTGGCCTCTAGGGGTCGGATAGGGGAGCTTCATGCTCTCCTCCGGCGCTGGGGTTTCTGCTCTTTTGGTCGTGGTGATTGTTTTGTTCGTTTGCAGCCGTCTCCTTCTTTTCTGGCGAAGAATGAGACTGCTGCGTTCCGGAGGGGTCCATGGGTGGTTGATGCTTGGTTGGTCAGGCCGGGGGTGCATCATGTTTTGTGTCCGGTTGCGGCGCTTCGCCGTTATTTGCGCGCCACAGCTTCTGTGTCCGGGGACGCGCTGTGGGTTGATCCGGTTTCCCTTCTTCCCTATTCGCGGGTTCGGGTCTCTCAGGTCGTCCGCAGGGTTATTAAGTCCAGCCAGCCTGCGGTCTATCCCCGTGCCCATGACGTTCGTAAGTTCGCGGCTCTTGCTGCCGTCTTTGGGAATATGTCTTGGTCTGATTTTCGGGCGCGGGGATTTTGGCGGTCGAACAGGGTCCTGGCTGCTCGTTACCTTGTGAATGTCCCTGAGCCTCATCGGGCCTGTGTTGCTTTGGGTCGGCGGTTGCAGCCAGTTGTCTCGGCTTCGAGTTGAGGAGTGAGCGACGACCGCCTCCCGGGTAAGTCCCTCTTTTTTTCTGTCTGTGGGTAGTTAGCTCCGGGGAGCCGACGGGGCTCCCCCCAGAAAACCAGCGTTGAATGTAATGAAACGCCATTTTCTGGGTGAGTCCCGGAGGCTCCCCGGCATCCCTCCCTCCCTCCGGTTGGCGGTTTTTCGCGTTTTTGACATCCAGCCTCAAGAACTGAGGTGTGGGTAGCTGGCGCGGGAGGTTTGGGGCTCCCCCTTCCCCCTCCCGGGGAGGGGGGGAGCTGCGCAGACAGCGGTGCGGAGGTGTGTGACGTCACACTAGTTTGCTTGTTTTCGGTTGGGGAGTTCTATCCACTAGTTCGGTTTTTGGTAGCAATTTTAACCAGAATTGGGGTTTGTTTTGAGGCGCTTACCTTTCTGGGTGCCTGTTCCAGTCGATGGCAGACATAGAATGCTTCCAACCACACGGGGGCTTCTATAGGCCATTGCTCCCCTTGCCTCTCTGAGGGGGCCCGGTTCTGGCCGTGGTCCCCGGTAGGCCTAAGAACTCCATACACATGACTGATGCCAAAGTCTGATATTAGCATATCAGCCTGGGATAGCTCTGGGAAGCCTCCGGGACTCACCCAGAAAATGGCGTTTCATTACATTCAACGCTGGTTTTTTGCACTGGTAGGGGGTGGGGGTACTACATAGCTAGCTTTCACCTATAACAGTGGCCGACTCTGTTCCCTCTGGGTACGCTGTCCTCTTGTGAGGTTTTTTTCTTTTTCTTTTTGCCTGCTGGGAAGGGGGTGGGGGGATTCTGCCTTGGTGTCCCTCCCCCTTTATATTAGGGTTGTTTGTGTTTGGTGGTACCCCCTGCTTCGCCCTCGTGAGTGGACACTTCCCGAGGGTTCAGCATTAGCAGTGTTGGTTGGTAGCTTGGGTGCCGGTTAGCAGTACCCTGCTTGGGATTACCCTTAGCAGACCCAGTGTAGGGGACCCTGGGAAACCCCGCGGGGTGCTCTGGTCCAATGGATGTGATCCCTGAGTCTCCTCTCGCTTTTTGCGAATTTGAAGGTTGCTCTGTCCCCTTGTCTCCGGGCGACGCTCATTGTTTTTACCTCTGTCATGCTGCATGTTGGGTCGGCGACACATTCGACCCCGAGTCCTGCGAGCTTTGTTGCTTGTATGTGACTCAGTTCACCCAATCTGATGATACTATTAGGGTGCAGGCTGCTCGTGCATTCCAGGATAGGTTTAGGTTGCTGCAGCCCATTAGGTTGTTTGCTTCTCAAACAAGACATTTGAGGCATTTGAGTCGGTTCCTCCAACCGTAGTTCCAGGGGTCTGACCACTGGGCCCATCCTCTTCCTGCGATTCCGGCTGCCCTGTCTTTTTCTTGTGAGGCCGCAGCTATGGAGGATGACTCGGCCCCGGAGCCTGACATGGAGGGTCACGGGGTCCTGATCAGAGACTGGGCCAATGGGACATTGATCCATGGAATCACCACAAGGTAACCTCAAGGCAGGTTAAGACTGAACTGACCATGACGTTTACACTGCCTGTCGTTCATGGCATTCTTTCAGCTATAGACTGTAACAGCTACACCAACAGCCAGTGCTGCATTAGCCACTGCAAAACAGTATCATCACAATCCTATTACAGTACTTAGGAATGTTCAGTATACAGCATTACTGTTACTATTAACACCAATCTTCTCCCATTTACATAAAACTCCATGATCTTTTGCTTTATAATGGTGGAACCGGCAGTAGTACCAATGATATAATCCTTTGTCAGCTGCTTGCCTCCCAGCCACTATCGCATTTCCTCCTCAGGAAATCTCTTTACCAAGGACTCGGCTTTCCTGTCCTTAGTAAAGAAGTCCCATTTACCCTTGTTTAATGCAGCCAAACTAGACAACATGGTTTTAATTTGTAAATAATAATAATAGCCATATAAAAGCCAGTGAAAATGTTTGAGTAATGAGGTCAGACTGCACTTGGACACAAAGAAATCACATTGTTAGTATGTGTTTTTCAAAATGGGTTTGGATGTCAAACATTTTCACACTTGTTCATTTTATAGTACAGTAAAAGAAAACATCTATAAAATATAAATGCATTATTTTAAATAATATTTATGAATAAAGCGGGTTATGAATAAGCACAATTTGGGAAAATGATTGGATGAAAATTATTTTACATAATGAACTGACGATACCGATTTGATAACATCCCATTTCTAGAATCTAGATTTTATATTTGTGATACATCTGAATTTTGGAGGAAATAGTTGGTGGGATGGTTTGGTTCATTGATTACAAAAATGCATTACATGTAAAGTCCAGGTTTTTGAGAGTGGATTGTAAATGGCTATCAGAAAGGATAGGAATTAACAGAACTTTGCCGTAGGGTATTGAAGTCATGTGTGCTAGGCAAAAGGTTTGCTTTGTATGGAACTAGTTATATAAATTAGAAACTGAGGTCATTAAAGATGAGCTATTGTATATTGGTGCATGTATAAAGGGTAACCTATATTGTTACTGGAATGGAAAATATTTAATAGGACTGACTGAGAGAACATGTTTGATAAAAGTGACTAATGAAGGAACTGGTAAGTTTTGGTTTTCTTGAAATTGCATGTTAAAAGGGGTTGTGATTTATAGGATTTGAGAATGCATATTTAAATTGCTCTAAAAAAATTAGCAAATTAAATTTAATACAATATCAGTTAAATTAATAAGATTTAATATACTGTACTTGTTTAGTGGTAATTACTAATGAAAATGACATCAGGATATGCTAATTTGATGTGGTTGACCTTTATTTTTTTCCTTCATAGGTGCAAAGGGTCATATGGCTTTTGTTCATCAAGTTAACAATGAGGGTGACTGCGATCCATTTTATGAGGTATTGGGCCTTGTTACTCTAGAAGATGTCATAGAGGAGCTAATTCAAGAGGAAATTGTGGATGAAACTGATGTATTCAGTAAGTTGTAGACGTTGTTTTCTCAATTATTAAATACTAAAACAGAATAGGAACTACAATTTTTAATTTAGATTTTTAAATATTTTGTATTTAAACTCAATGAATTTCATGTTTGGTCATTTCTGTTAATGTCATACTAAATAGGGTTTATGGAAGGAGCCCCTTGCTGGCTCCCTGCTACTGGGTTACATCAATCACAGGAGTTATGTTTGTGTTACCAGAGACCAGAGCCAGAACCTGGTTTCCCTTACAGATGTGCAGAAAGCAGGGAATGATTATCACCACCTTCACCATGAAAGCTTCCAGAAAGTTGGCAAAACTTCACAGACAACAAGGAAGGTTCATAGGAAAAGTAGCATCGATACAGCCAAATGGCTCTGCGAAGTATTTGATCAAAACAAATGGTTCACTCTAAACTAGCTTGAACTCCTTTAGTACTGTAATAATGACCACCAAAACATGGCCCAGAACCCCCAGCTCATAGCTGGCTACAAGGTCAGTCCTTGGTACCTCTGCCATACTGTCTGTTAGGTCGGTGACACCTTTGACCAGGAGTCCTGTAACATATGTGCATGTTGGGTCTTCCATATTATGACCCAGCTTCACATCAAGAATCTTACCAAGATTCAACCTTACGGGCTTGTTTTTCCCATACTCACGGTTCGTAGCATGGTACTCCTTCGGATGTCCCAGAATTGGCTTCTGTGATGTTTAAGGACACAGATTTTGGAGGTGTTGGTGAACCTCCTGAGGTACATCAGCACCTCTTCCTTCCCCTGCAAGCATAGTTCACCTTGTTTCTGGTCTCCCCTCCCCTTTCCTTCCCCTGGTTCCAACTCGGAAGCATCCAAGGGTTTCAAGAGTTGGGGCAGGGCTTGGCTCGGGGTGTAGGTCAGCCATCTCCGGGGTATAGCCCCAGCCATCCAATTCAATAGCGGAGGCAGTTGAGTGATTCCTTCCTGCTGGGGACACAAAGCCTTTGCTTTTCGCAACCACTCACCTGCTCTAGTCGTCGTCCTTAGAATGATGCCTTTCTGTCCCAGGCACTGGTTATGGAATACAGATCTGCCTTAGCACCATCATGCTGGCTTTAGGGGGCTGGGAGGGAGCCTAAGAGGAGGGTCTGTGGGTGCCCCTTCAACTCTTTTACTTTGGTTCCTTTGGCCGAGAGTATTTTGGCTCCAGGTGGAAAAATTTTCATATTCCCTTTTGATGTATGAGCTAGATTACTTGGTTGCTTTCCTGAGGGTTCAGTTCCATGAGCCATTCAATGTTTTGGACTAATCTCATTTCTTAGGTTCTCATCGTTCTGCCTTGCGCCATCTGTGGCATGTATGGACCTGTTTCTATACTTCTTGCGGGATTCAGACTTCACTTCTTTGTCGATGGACCCGGCCTCATTTGAGTACGGGTCTACCTCGGCTTATTGGCTACAGTATGAGGGTCCTGGATTCATCCTGGCTGGCTGATAACCCCCTCTTTTCCTTGGGGGTTTGGATATGGGTTTTGTCGTACATGAATGCTTAATTGAGGGAAGTGAACATATTCTTACAGGTGTTCTTAGGGAGCACTCCTTATTCTCCTCTCAAATACTGCCTGTTTGCTCTTGCACTCTTCAGGAATGTTGGCAAGTGGCAGCTTCATATGAAACTGGCTTTGTATTCTGGAGCCCTATTGCAGATGACCTAGAGTTCTGGATGATAGGATGTATCATCTTTGTGGTCAAGTTCACAGAGTTTTACCATTAAAATGTTATTTCACCATAGCTAAAGTCACCCTAAGTAAGTGTGGGAGTCCACTGATTTACACCACATGAATGATCTTGTATGAATGATAATAATAAAAAAAATAATGAGAAAATCTATGGAAGCTGGGATGAGGATTGAAACTTGTGTTGGGTATTCCCAGACAGACGTTCTAGATGACTAGACAACTACAGGGTACTCCGTTCTAGATGATCACTGGGAACCACAAGCTAGAACCTGGCTCCCTCAGAGAGGCGCAGGGAGCAATGGCCTAAAAAAACTCCACTCTTTGAGAGTATATTTATATCTGCCATCAACCAGGGTAAGCTAGGAACCCAAAAAGGTAGGCATCCCAAAACAAATCCTAACTGGTAGAAAATTTCAACCTCAAGACTGAACCGAGCCCAAGAACACCCCCCCTCCCCAAGAAGAAAATGCAACAACTAAAATGTTATGAAACTGACCTCCCCCTCCCCTCCCCCGGGAGGGAGAGAGGGAAGCCTTGTTCACCCGACCCGGGTGCTCCCCCACCAGTTCGTCGACTGAACCCGACTGGGGCTGACGTTACTTCTGGCCTCAATCTTCTGTCAGAATTTTTCCTCTGTGGTTGTGCCTGCTGTGTGGGTGGTGTGGTGGCCAGGAGAAAGCTGTACTTCAGGCTGCATGCACTTAGGGTTCTCTTCCCTAGGCTCCCTGTAAATACTTTCCTTGAGTCTCAGGGTTATCTTCCCTATGCTTTTGGCTGTCACCTGGCATTGACCTCGCCATTTGGGTCAGCAGGGATCTTGGTACTTTCATTTGGCCCTGGGTAGGGAGTGGTTGGTGTTTGTTGCTGGTTGGGGTGCACGATGCTGCACAGCTCGCATACCTAATGGCAGCCGTGTTTCTCTCCAGCCTCCTGTTGTTGTGGTGCACTTTTGGGTTTTTTGTTTCATTTCTTTTCAAGTTCTTTTCTGCCTGGTGGAGGACTGCCTGGCTTCTGATTAGGTATGCCTAGATTCCTTTAGGTGGTCCTCCTCTGAGCCCTCCCTTAGATTGGACCCTTCACAGGGGTCAGCTTGCCTGGTAATTGATGGGGTTTAGCCGGTTTTGCAGCACCAGTGCCTGGGCTTCCCGTAGGGATACATCACCCTTCAGGCCCTGGAAACCCCTATCAGGGCTTGGGTTACTATGAATATGTCTTCAGTCCCACCTGCCTCACCTTATGCGAGTTTGATGGTTGTTTGTTGCCCTTGTATCAGGGTGATGATCATCTGTTTTGCCTCCATCATGCTGCTTGTTGGGTCGCTGACACCTTCGACCCGGAGTCATGCGAAACTTGTTCCCCGCTCGTTCTCCATTTTACCCATTCTTCTTCGGAAGATCTTAGGGGTCAAGCGGCTGTCACATTGCATAGTAGGTTTTTGTTGTTTCAACACACTTAGTTGGTCATCTGCTCGAGTGCCCCGGGGCTGCTTCGTTTTGGTTTTAGGACCCGGACTTGGGGGGGCATTGGTTGTTTTGACCTTGGTTCCATCCGTGCCCTTGAGTCCTTTCCCGGTTGGCATGGTTCGCCCTGTTCTTTTTGCCCTGCTGCCGGCTCCCAAACGTCTGAAGGTTTTAGTCAGGGCAGGGTTTGTTATCAGGTTCTGGCGTCTTCCTGGCTGGCATGGCAGTTTATGTCATACCCGCACGCTGGAATGGGGGGAGGTAATAGTGTGTTGCAAGTTTACTTGGGGGGGGGGGGGGGAGGGACGATTTTCAGCACCTCAATGTGTGCCTTTACACCTTCGTGAGTTTGGCTTGTTCCAGTTGCATGCTTAGGTCCCCCTTCCTTTCGGCTGCCTTGGTTGCTAAAGATCTTTGCGCTCGCGGGCATCTGGAATCGATCTTGTGCTTTTTTTTCCCTTCTTGAGTTGTCCTCGGACAGGCAGGTGGAGGATGTGGAGGCGCTGAGTGCTATGCCATCATCTTGGGCATTGGCTTTGGCTGTTTGGGTGTTGGCAGCATTGCTGAAACTGTTTACGCCAATCCTCCGGGAGGCGGTGTGTGTTTTCTGTGGGGAGCCCCGGATGCTCCCTGGAGCTTATCGGGCTAATGTATGTTATATTAGACTGGGACAAGGGCCCCCCTCCCCTCCCCGAGAGGAGGAGGGGGGGCCTCGGACCTCACCGGCCAGCGGTATAGCACTCCAGTTCGTAAACTACTGTCAACCGGGACAGACGCTTCTCTGGCCTCGGTTTCCTAGGCGGTGTTTGCCTTTGTGGCGCTCACTGCTGTGATTTTGTGTTGTGCAGGGGGCCAGTTATTCCTTATCAGTATCTGGGCTGCATGTGCTTAGGAGCTTCCTTCCCTAAGCGCTCTGTGAGTATTGCCCCTGTGTGACAGGGTTATCTTCTCTGGGCCATTCGGGAACTATTCCCGAAGAGGTTCTTGCTGCTCGGCATTTGCCTCGCTCTTGGGGCCAGCTGGGACTTGGGGCCAGCTTTGGCATCTGTGCGATATATATATATACTGTATATATATATATATATATATATATATATATATATATATATATATATATATATATATATATATATATATATATATATATATATATATATATATATATATATATATATATATATATATATATATATATATATATATATATATATATATATATATATATATATATATATATATATATATATATATATATTATATATATATATATATATATATATATATATATATATATATATATATATATATATATATATATATATATATATATATATATATATATATATATATATATATATATATATATATATATATATATATATATATATATATATATATATATATATATATATATATATATATATATATATATATATATATATATATATATATATATATATATATATATATATGTCGTACCTAATAGCCAGAACGCACTTCTTTGCCTACTATTCAAGGCCCGATTTGCCTAATAAGCCCAGTTTTCATGAATTAATGTTTTTTCGTCTACCTAACCTACCTAACCTAACCTAACCTAACTTTTTTGGCTACCTAACCTAACCTAACCTATAAAAAGATAGGTTAGGTTAGGTAGGGTTGGTTAGGTTCGGTCATATATTTACGTTAATTTTAACTAAAATAAAAAAAAATTGACCTCATACATAAGAAATGGGTATCTTTATCATTTCATAAGAAAAAATTTAGAGTAAATATATTAATTCAGGAAAACTTGGCTTATTAGGCAAATCGGGTCTTGAATTAGGCTAG